TTGGCTAGTAAATTTTTTTCCCCAAAGACTTTTCTTCCCAAAGTTCATCTCCAATAGCTCAATCAAGACACAACAAAAGAACCAAAGGTGCAGGTTAGCCAAAGAAACCATGTGAATCCCCTCTCACTCCCTTCACTCCCTCAAGGCTTTTCTCCCTCTCTCAACCTCACGTCCTCTCTCCCTTATGAAGTGGACTCTCTCTAAGTTCTCTCATCTATATAAAATGACCTTAAAAACCCAAAGACTCTTACTACAAAACATAACAAGAGTTTATAAAGAGGGCTAAAAAAAACACTAATTTTTTTATTTTAAGTCTTATGATGGTACAATATGATTAGTTGAATCAAATAACAGATCATCCAAGATGATCCAAGTTCATTTGGAAGAGAGAGAGCATATTGCTCAATGGAAGTGGATGTAATGTTTACATTCAAATTATTTGAAATAATGAAATCTCTATCCTCTCGCTGAGTAATTTAGAATTGTGAAAATTTGACCTGTATAAGAGACAATCCTCTATGTGTCTTTGAGATGTATTTGTAATCTTAAGTCTTACATGAAATCCAATAAATTGTAGTTAAATTTTTGAGTTAGCAACAAGGTATTAAGTCCTTATATACTGACTTTAATTTTTTAGTTGATAAGGACCTTATATGTCTTATGCCTTTTGAGGTATTTTTGATGAATAATAATCATGCATCTTCTAAGGCATAAACTATTTAAGATTTTTTGGAGAACCAAAAACCTCTTCCTTTTGAGGCTTTCTAGACTTCACTCTTTTAGATAATTTAAGAAACCTTTTAAGTTATTAGCCATCTCAGGCTTTTGGAAAAAAAAAAAAAATCTAAGGCTTTTAGGTTGCTAATGTTTTTGATGAACAAAAGAAACATGTATCTTATGAGACTTTTTGTTTTTTGAGGTTTCGAAGAATTGAAGAAATCTATATTTTTTTAGATTTTTAGCTTTTCTTCTATATATTTTGAGGCTTTCAACATTTTGAGGTTTTTGATGAATATGTGAAATATGCATCTTCTAAGGCTCTTAGCCGTTTAAGGTTGTTAGAGAACCAAAAACTTATGTATTTTTGAGGCATTTAATCTTATGAGGTTTTTCAAGAATAAAAAAATGCACATACTTTATCATGCTTTAGCCTTCTTAGTTTTTTCTATAACTAGAGAAAAATATGCATTCTTAGGCTTTTAGCCTTATAAGATTATTAGATGAGTGGAGATACTATCAATCACATTGTCTCATTGCATCTTTTATATGAGGTGTAGTTAATGGGGTGCAATTATATATATGACTTAGGTTGAATTAGGGATAAAGGGTGTCTTTGTCTCTTGATTGCTACATTTCTTAGCTAGTGAACCCCATTAATTTATTATTGTGGATTCTCATATTTGCTTGAGGATTGTTCAAGTTACTTCTGATGAGCATTGATTGTCTGATGATAAGTTAATTATTTAGAGCGGACAATTTGACCTTCAAAAAAACCAGACATAATTATTTTTGATTTACTTCTAAAATTTAATGTACTATGAAATAAATTTTTTGAAAGTACTCTTTAAGAACTTTCTCCTCATTTTGGAAAATTCTAGAAAGATGGGAGGCATCCATGATAATCTTTTGATTTATAATAAATTATTTAATAAAAAATCTTGACCAATTACAAAAATATAAATAATTCCCCTAGAGAAAGAGAACTATGTGCAAGTTTATCTTTTAGGAGTTGTGGGGAAAAATGAATGCATCAAAAGCTTATTGAATAAGTATGATGGCTTTATAGTGGTCAATACACTCGTATGGATTAGAGGTTCTAACATAATGACTACTTATAGGTAATTTGAATCCCAATAGAATAAAAGTAGGAAAATTACATAAATCAAAAGAAAAAACCCTTAAAATCTATGGTGAGGGGTAAGTTGATTTTTTTTTCCTCAATGGGAATTTCTTTTGAACAAAGCATTGAAGTTTGTTTCTTATAACATTACAAGGAGCGTAAATAAAATGAGTTCATTTAAGTCTATCAAGGATGCCAAAAAATTACAACAGAATGCCAAAAATTACAAGTTGGTCAAACAAGATGGAAAGGATAGGTTGAAGCAATAGTGTCCAACAAATCCTTGATGAGGTTATGGTAAAGGAGTAGCCACTACTTTATGATGAGTAGCTAATACTCAATGATGAGGAATCACTGCATATGTGCCTTAAAATTGACTAGCCTTGCTTTATTATTGATTTTATGGTGGCAAAATTGCATCGTGTTATGATAACGCTTTTCGTTGTCCAATCTCCTCTAAATGTTGAAGGGTTTGAGCTTGAAACTTTCATTTTATGCATATATCCTCCAAAATGAGGCCTAGGTGGTATTGACCATAAAAATTGTGCTGTCCTTGATTGGGAGAATGATTATCAGTTATTAAAAAATATTTATAGTATGTTGGGAATCATTTTCACAAATAATACAAAATAATTACACATAAGAAAATTGATGATGTGTGTGTGTGAGAGAGAGAGAGAGTTTTTCATATATTTACACAAAGATCTAACACATAAAAAAAAAAAAGGAAAAAAAAAAAGAGGCATAGAGTTTTTATTTGGGAAACTTAGAAATGTATGAAATCATAGGGCCTAGCTTAATTGAAATAATCCATTATATACTTGAAAATATTAAATATACTCTTCTCCACAACTGGAGAAGATTGAATTACAAGATTAGGAACACTTGTTAGGTCTCTTATAGTTGAATGATGATGAATAAACTATAATGGTTGAACAAACATAATTAGATAACTATGATTGGGTTATGGTTGCTGGAAAATGACAACTGCGTGAAGTAAGTCAAATGATGACAGTGGCTTGAGGTGATTATCAACATCGAATGCCGAGTAGAGCTCAAAATTTCGTTTGATCTCCAACCTCTCTCAAAACTCAAATCTAAATTATCATTCATGTGGAGAATGAAAGTTTATTTATAATATTTTGGAAGTGTCATTTTGGTAGTTTCAATTAAAATTTCATAAATGTCCATAATAATATCCATATTGATTGAATCCTTTAATCATAAATAATTTATTTAACATTTAAGTGCTTTAACGAAATCAAAATTGAATGACCTTGAGCTCATCAAATGTCTCGTTGAGTCTCAATTTGATTACTAGCATGTAAGATTTGGAGACCGTATGATCCATCAATTAATGTTCTAATGTTTCAACTATACTTCAAGTGCTTGATTTGAGTTTGTATGGGCTCAAATCGAATCACTTTTGATGGCTTTATGTTTGTCATGTTAAGCTGCTTAGTTTGACTGTAGGTGTACTAATATTGAAGTTTGGATGGCCTCAAGTTTAATTTTGAAATTTTTTTGATAAAAATAATGCATCAAAATTCTTGTCAATCAAGTGAATTTTCGGAGACTATCAAATATAATGATATTAGTTGAGAACAATAGCACAACCTTGTGGTTGGGGGCTCAAACCTCCATTGCGATGACCAACATCTGATTGCGTAAACTAGCTATTAACCACTAACTAATTTGTGATCTATTCGCTCATTGAGATTCATTCGATCGCAAGAACTAATTTTAATTTGTTAAATGAATGAGGATTTGTTAACAACAACTTTTATAACATCCCTAATTTGTGAGACAATGTAGAGATTTAGTGATGATATGAAATTTATGATCAGTGAATAAAGAAGCAAAGAGAATAATTACAAATGATTAAAGAATTGAACTTTAGAATATAGTTTGAGTTAGTTATTATAGTTTTGTACATGCACCAGGACTATAATAAAATCTAAATATTATATCTTGATCCTCAACTTTATTTAATTATGAGAAATATAATATAGATTGTCAGGATCAATGCCCAACACTTCTAATTCTCAAGAGTTAATTTCACTTCCTTAATCTATAACTAGTTGGAAAGACTTGATTATCCTCCTCAATTTTAAAATATTCCCAAATAAAATCTTAGACTACGTTTGGAATAACTTTATTATTAATTTTTAAAGCAATTTTCTAATACACATTCTAATTAAAAAAAATTGAACTAAAGAATTGCTTTAAAAAATAATAAAAAAATTGTCTCAAAGCTTTATTACCACGACTTTTTCGCTATTTCAAAAAATTTGTTAACTAAAAACTTACTATAAAAAAAAAATTTATCCCAAACAAAGTTTTAAATTATTATGTAGTTTCAACTTTCTCCCATGATGACCACTTGTGAGCCACCTAATCAGATATGTCATACAACATTCATAAATGATAACTGCTGGGTTAATATCTGCTCAAACCTTCAATGAAACTTAATTTCACCTTCCAAGCTGAGCATCACTATAAACTTATATTTTTAACACTAAGTTTTTAGCATATATGTGCTGATAACCATAAAATCAATAAGATTACAGTAAACTTTATAAATAAATTGAAGAAAGGTTTCATTTGGAACGATTTTCTTACTGTTTTTTAAAGTAACTTTCTAGTAAAAAAGAAAAAAATTAAACTAAAGAATTGCTTTAAGAAACAGTTAAAAAACAGTCCCAAATGATTATTTCTTTTAAATTATCTTTCTTCACCTTAACCTTAAATAAGAGAACACAAATTTAAGGAGACTTCTCTTGTATACTACTAGAAATATTCAAATATATTGATACATAGCTCAATACTTTATAATTCTTGATATACTGCTCCATCTATTTAATTTTGACTTATAAGCCACAACCTCTGTTAACTGTAAGGTAGAAGAATATTTCTTTAACTAAGAGAAACTACAATATTTCATATTTTAGAAAATAATAGTTTATAAGTGAAAAATATGATAATTATTATCTAACTTAAGGTAAAAATCTCTTAATGTACAAAACTAAATTATTTTATGAAAAGTTTATTGAATATTAGGCTTCATTTGGGACGACTTTTTTACTGTTCTTTAAAACAACTTTCTAGTAAAAAAATTAAACTAAAAAAAAAACTACTTTAAGAAGCAATAATCAAAGTATTAAAATGTGTAAAACTACTTCAGCATGAAAGAACTATAATGTTAAGTAAACCAATAAAATAAACATGCTGATTTCATCCTGCAACATAAGTTATAACTCTGCAGTAAATTAAATTTAAGCATAATGTTAAAAATAAGACAGTTAATCAGGTGTTAAAAATCAATATTTCCAACAATCAGTTTTGATGCTACTCACGCAGATCAGTCCACTGTGCAGGGGAAAAACAGCAGAAGAGGAACACCTGGAACAATGAATCAAAAATAAAGGATCAGTCCATAAATAATAGGAAGTGAAATGATAAACAAAAGAGAGCATAAATAAATTACCAGTATAATGATGGTTAGGTTGATGCAAGCAAGTTTTCAATGTCGGCTCCCACCTCAGCAATCTTTGCGTCCTTGGAGGATTTTGCTTCTTTAGCTATACTTTGAACATCAAAGGCAAGCGCAATTGATTTCACAACACCTTCTAGCATCTAATAAAGAGCAGGTCAAGGATGGTGGTGGGAGAAGTAAAAGCACATTTAAGGCTTTGTTTGTAACGGCTTTCTTACTGTTTCTTAAACTAATTTTCTAGTACAAAAAATTTAATTATTGTACTAGAAAGCTGCTTCAAGAAGCAGTAAAAAAGCCATCCCAAATAAAGCCTTGCAGCTTTCTTATTACTTTATAAATCAACTTTCTAGTAAAAAAAAAATTTTGAGCTAGAAATTTTGACACTAAAAGTTATTTTAAAAAATAGCAAGAAAAACGTCCCAAACGAAGCCTAATTTTCACCGAAAATAGAAATCTTTGGATATCTCATTAATGGAATATTTACTTCCTACTTAGGAATATAAAGCAGGATGCCATGTCACAATTATTGATGACAAACAACCTATTTTGTGCTGGTCAAAAGGTTTTGCATTCGCCGGACTGCATCAGCAATGACAAGGTTGTTTTCCTCCACAAATTTATTGTCTGTGTAAGGATCGTGTCAGTAGTTCTTAGAATGTAGTCATAGATTCACCATCTTGATGCAAGGCAGTAGAAAAATGATAGAGAAAAAAGGGTCAAAAAGGCAGAAAATTAGTCTAAAAGGTTCGATTTTAAGGTCTTATGGTGGCAATGGAATTCATTTGAATTGATTATTAAGGTTTTTGTTTGAGACGGCTTTTTTACTATTTCTTTACAAAAAATTTTTTAAACTAAAATTTTTTTATTAAAAAATTGATTTAGAAAGCAATAAAAAAGTTGTCTCAAACGAAACCTAAGCATGAGATCCACCTAATCATAACCGCCACCTAAAATGTTCTTAAAGAAAGCACAACCAAAGCAGGATATAATAATACGATATTACTTTTTCCTTGAAAAGATACTAGAAAAGTAGTTTTTAAAGGATACAAGTGATCCAATTGCAACTAGCGCTCGAAATTTTGAATCAACGTCAAGACTCTGATCCTCTGCAATCTGGGAATTATTGCAAAAGTAAGCCAAGGATGATTGCGACATATTAAAGTAATCATATGGAGAAATATGCAATTTGTTAACGTTTCCTGGAACATGCGGGCAATGAAGTTAAATAATATTAACATCATAGCAGGGAGTACAAGTAATACCTCAAGGGCAGCCGATAGAATTTGACCTTGGCCTTTGGCATCTTTCATTCCAATTAATAGCACAGAATAGCTACAAAATTTAAAAAAAAAAAATTAATGAAAAGGTAAGAAAAAGGTTTACATGCCCGTTGGATATCCTGTACAAAACAAAACATTGAAGGATAATTAAAGACAGGAAATTGAAAACTTCTCTCAACAAATTTGATGAAAAAGGACATAAAGTAACCAGATTGCTTAGACCAAATATAAATTTTAAAATGACATTGCATGGGTTAAATATAAATTAACATAAGGGACGAAAACATACTAATCAATAATCAACAATAAAGTTTCTAGATTGTCAAATGAAGAGACTTGATAGCATATACTATTAATTATGTGAGTGAGTAAGAGAGTAGGGCAAAGTTGGCTACACTAGGAATATCTCTAAGAATATTAAAAACTAAATCTAATGAAATACTTAACCAAGCAAATAAAACTAACAAAAGAGAAAAATTATTAATATGCATTTTGAAAATTTACCCTAGAACCTAATCTCATAAAAACTCTCACCGCCAATAAAAGCGTAAAGAGGCCAGAGCACGAATTTACAAATCCCACAATTGACTCTCTCTTCTAAAAAGTTAGTATTTTGAGATCCAATCTTGAAGGGAAGAGCCTTTAATAAATGGTTAGCCGATGAGTTAGGTGAAGATCTATTCTGAATGTGCAAGAGCCTATAATCATCATGTGACTTTTCTAACACAGTGTACATGAATAAACTAAAAAACATATAACAAAAAACCTGAATGATTGAATATAGTAATTGCATATTGTTATGCATTGATCATTTATTAAAATCAGATAAAGTTTATTCAATTCATTCTTTAAGACTTACATATATGTACTGCTTATGACCATTGCATTAGTATAAAAGATCGGCAAGCATATTGATTGTATCTTATTCATGTACAATGAATCTTGCACACGAATTATCTCATTGAGCGTTTAGCTCATTAGTTGATGTATTGCAGGAAAGGAAACGGAGCTAGCGAGACTTTAGGCAGGTGATTGATCGCATATTGTATATATTCCTTTTATGAGTGCAATTTTTGATGTAAATAAAAGATTGATCAGTAAGTTATAAAATAAAAATTTTGGGTACGTAAAATTTTATTTCAAGTTTTTAGTAAAACTTTTTATTATGTTTTGATATATCTTGCTGCATGCTTTCAAATATTTAATCAAGAGGTATAATTCTATGATTGGAGTATAATTGTGTTGTGATAGTCTAAAAAGATTAAGTTTCACTCACTCAACCCTAATGAATGTGGTTTAGGATGGGTGTTAGTGGAAAGGTATGATGAGGGCATCGTCAGCAATTTCGACACGTGTATCATCGGAGATGCCGGAGATCGACGGCCACGATCAGGAGTTTTTATTTTGAGTCATTTTATGTAGTAGTTTATTTTATTTTTCAGTTTTTACTGTTTTACCCTTATAGATGGTCATTTGATATTATAGCCCCGAGGGCATTTATGTCTTTTAGTTTTTGTTTCATTTTGGCCTATTTATAGGAGGCCTCATGCATTGTATTAGGGGATGAATATTGATATGAAATTTCAACTTTAATTTTAGATCTCTTTGTGAGTTCTAGAGTTCTCTTTGTGAGTTCTCAAGTGAGGAAGCCTAGGAGAGGCTCAATCGAAGTACCCAACAGCCCTCTTTGTGAGAGCTCTTGGTTCCTATCATCTTCCACCACTTCTTCCCTTCTCCCCTTGCCGTCGGCTCCCACAAACCGGCCACCAACTGACCGGCCAGCTACCGGCCCCCATTCCCCTGCCGCCACCGGCCTCCTCTTTTTTCCCCCAAGCCCTCCCTAGCTCCACCACCTCAAGCTCCCACCGACAGCCAAGCACTTCCCCTTCCCCTCACCCGACGCCCTCTCCTCCTTCCTCTTGACCACCGGCCCCATCTTCCCCCAAATTCATTATGATGATTTTAATCGTCATAATGACTCCCTAATTTGATTCTTGCAAAAAAGGGAGGAGTTAGTAAATTTGAAATTCAAAAGTTGAAATTCAAAAACTTTCCATATCTGCAAAATTCCAAATAAGGAAGGATTTCGAATTTGAATCCAATCCAAGTTTCATTTAGAGGGGAATTATTAATTTCCCTCCTATTTGATCTCAACTTATTTGGAAAGCAATTAGTCTCCCCCTAACCCCTCTCCCTCTACCTCAATGCCGCCGACCACTCATTGATGGCTTTGCAATTAATTCCCATTAAAGCTCCCAATCCCTCCTTAATTTTAATTCAAAATTCTTCCTCCAAAACCACTTACATTTGAATTAATTTCAGAATTTCCAAAACTTCCTCTTCCCTCTCTCTATGGCCGGCCACCCATTGCCTCCCTTAATTAGGAGCTTAAGTCAAGGCTCCAAATTAAGCCCCATTAATTCCCACTTTCCCTCCTAACGTCTAAGTTTCAAATTTAAAATTTTGAAATTATGAGAGCCCAACTCAAATTAAGGAAATCAGATTTCCTCTCCTAGCCTAATCCAAGCTCCTCATTCAAGCCGCCCCTTCCCCTTCTCCCTACCTTAGCCGCTCCCCCTCCCTTGCATCCCCACTCTTGGGAAAACTTAGTTGCTCATGAAACTTGAAGCCAAGAGAAGAATACGACCTCCTCTCCCAACCTCATCGTCATCGGTGCACGGCCGATCCTGAGATCGACCACGAATTTTATTCTTCCCGGATGTTGGATGCTCACTAGTCATCCCGTGGATTACCCGCCTCCAGCTACTTCTCCAACGGACTATACTTTGGGCGCCATTTTTCTCCTAGTGGCATTGCTCGGTTTGCTCTCAATCTTCCTCCGTTAAAGCTCCACCGTCAAGAGAGTGAGGGACCCAAGGTGAAGAGTTCTATTTGTTAACCATGGATTATTTTTTCTAGCCATAACATTACTCTCTATTTATATGTTGTCAATTTGATATTGGCTCGTTAATCTAGTTGTAATCGCATGCCTTACATAATTTCGACTTGATAATTCTGAAAACCTAACTTGGGTAAGCATTAATTCTATAACTAGGAAATTTTAATAATCTTATATTAAAATTCCCAAGCAGTTCTTGTTTCCATGCATATGTTTCACATCAAGGTATCTGACTGGATTCTGTTAAACCTTAGGTTTATTAACAGGTAAAAAATGGGGTGACACACAAGGCCACCAAATAATTGATCTTAGGCCAACTACAATCTAACAAATCCATTGATCAAAATAAGGACAAGTCATTATTAAACAGGCCTAAAGGCTCGAGTTAATGAGGAGGGAATAGATGATCAAACGGGTTTAAAATTTCATTCTCTAAAATTTTTAAACAATAATTATTTCCAATATATTGAAAGAGCTACTAAAATAGCAAATGCATTAAAAGAACATTATAACTGCTTTGATAAATACCCTTCTCTTGGACCGTACGCTTACGGTACATGTTCTATGCTTTTTTACTCTATGGATTCTTTGAATAATACATGTGAACGTTTGCAAATATAAGAGTGAGTTATACATAACTCAGTTAGTATGTCATGCTTCTAAATTATAGTAATACAAGATATTTTGATCAACATGCATGCTTGCTATAACATATGAATTAACTTTAAATAATATTTAAATTTGAAAATGACCATCAATCATATCTTATGTATGTAATAATCATATCATTGCATAACATTTTTTATAACTAATATCTAAATAGTACTAATAAAAGTACTTCCATTTTCATATCCTATGCCATAACCTTTTCCATTTCACATGCGCAAGTATATTGCTTTCCCAGTCAATGCCATAAAAGGAAATGCACCATCATTCAATCATGCACACGCAAGTACTTCTGCTTGATAACTTTATTGCATGCTCTATACCATTTCATATCCTTATACAATAAACAATATTGTGCTAAATGATTAAATTATGATAAGTCTATTTCATCTAATTCAATATGATCAATTGCATTTAACAAAAATAAAACATAACTAATTTATAATAACAAGTAGTTAAATGCACTTAAAAGAAGCAACATTATTACCATAAATTAGGGATATAAGTACTCACCTCGAATCAAGTGCCTTAACAATTCACTCTAATCATCACTTTGTCGTCGTCAGATTAATACATATATAATTACATTATCATTGTCATACTTAAATTTATCTCTAACTCAAAAATAATTAGATGTTTTTTTTTACCATAAATTCAATTTATTACTTAATATATTATAAATTTAATAACTAAAATCTTAAACGCTATTTTTATACAATATAAATTGCCCTCTCCCTCTCTTTTTAATTAGCCATTGAATGAACCTAAATGCTCTTGTATTTAACTTATTTTTAAAAGAATTTATTCTCCTCGCTCTATAATATTGATTTATTGCTAATCATTTAAAATTTGATGAAAAATCATAATTTAATTATTAATATTTTCTAAAATAAATTTCTATATTATTATAATTTATTTATATAATTTAATCATATTGCTCTTTAATTAACTTATTATTTTATCTTCTAAAATAGTTTGCAATTTTTTAAATTAAAATTTCTAATTTATGAATATAAATTATTCTTAATATATTATCTAAATAATATTTAAAATTTTAGATTTTATTATCTTTAATTACGTACAATTATCCTAAAAATTTGATAACTATATTAGAATATATATAACAAAAATATATAAATACACAAAATTTCTTACCTTTCATCGAACTTGTTCATGCCCTAGCCACTCGCCTGAGTGCATCTCCACCTCTCGTCGAGCTTGTCAACCACGTTGGTGCTCACTCTTCTCATCGCCATAGTTTGTAAGCCTCACGAATTCGGCCGCCAGCCCACACACCTGCTTTCACTCTCTCTCAGTTCCTCCTCATCTCATCTTTAGTAATTTGAAGGGACTTTCGCAACTCGTCCCTCTTGTGACTCTAGGAGATGAAACCAAAAGGCCCTTCACCTACTCGCGACACCAAACATCAGAACGGACTAACCCTTCCCCTCCTCATGAGAGAATTAATCAACTCCTCTTCCATGACACCAGGTGGCGAATCTCCTACACCTCCTTCGTCTTCCTCGATTCCACACAGTTGAACCGACTCTTAATCTTCTATGCACTTCTTCATCACCTTCCTCTTCGGCTTCCATAACTCCAAGTAATCAGAGCAGGATTGGGAAATTACAGCAACCAAGTTCAATAATTTATTAAACTTGGGGCCAGACTTCATGCTAACAAGCCCTTAGTCAAAACCAAATGAACCAAAATCCAATGTCTTGGACACATTTCTTTGTGCTATACTAAAACTTATGAACAATTTATGATCATGCCAAGTCTCTAAGCCACATATTGGTCATGTCTAGTACCTCCCTTGATAAAATGGTTTGGATCCCTCCAACATTTGGCAAATTAGGTCCATTAGTAGACCCAAGATGAAGAAATCAAGAGATCATGATCAAGTTTCTTTCATCCACCTAACCATTTTTCATTTGACATTTTGACTAAATTCAAAATACCAAAGTTGAGCTTAAAATTGAGCCCATGTGATGTATTTAATCAAGAATGCTCTTTGGTGAGCAAGTTGAAAAATTAACTATGAGGACTTATGTTCATAGGAAGTCTCAACTACATATTTAAATAAACCTTGGCATAACATCAAGAGAAATCTTTTTAAAATAGATCTAATATACCTATAAAAAAAACTACCCAGTGCCATCTCATTATATCGATTAAAGAGGATAAACGAAGGGAGGCTTTTCTTGTACGATCAATTATTTGCATTCAAAGAGCACATTTTGAATCCACAATAAAGAATTTAATAACATGGCATCATCATCAAGAAAAAATATTATTTTTGCAGAGCAATAGTGCCCATGGTGTTAGTGTAATGCTGTTATTATAATTAAATAAATAGATGTCAATCCAAACTTCCAACGCAAGGCAAGAAAATCTATGATTACAACTTACAAGTAAATTAGGAGTGAAATGTTGAGCATATTAACCAAAAATCCCCTAACGAACCTCCAATTTGTATATCCAATTGGACATACTTGACCAAAAAGAACATGTTTAAGAATAGCATTGCACCTTATCCTAATAGAAAACTAATCTATTCTACCACTTCACCATTCTGAAGTACTAAAAAAAAGTTAAAGACCAAGGAAGATTTATCAGTAAAGGAGATATCATGTCACAACTAACAAATGAATACTAAAAGGTTCCCAGTGATCACACATAAAATATTACATCTAAGAAGCTAAATTATAACGATACAATATCATCAGAATGCTTCCCGTACAACGTGGTAGGTAGGACTATGTTTTCAATATCAAATATGGTTTCGTATAAAAGCTATTCCAATGAATCCATGAGCCTCACTAAAAAAACACATTGCTTCACATGGTCAAGATAATAGTTGCTTGCTTGAGTATAATATTTATAATATTATTTAGAAAAAAAAATAAAAAAGTTGCTTACTTGAGTACCAAAGTCGAGTAAGCGAAATGCACATTCTTGTTAAATGATGGTCTACAGTTTGACAATGTATCAAGAATCTACAAATTCATAAACACCATCTTAAGAAATGCTTTTGCATGAAGTAAGAGATTCGAAATGAATTTAAAACCAATTCTTAAAAATAAGGCATGTTTTATTCAATTGTAGATAATTTGTAATTGCAAAAATGCAAGATGACAGCAGATCGGTAAACACAGGCTTCATTCCATCCTCTTTAAATAGAAATCTAATTTTGGAAATAGGTAGTTACTGTTTGTTTTCTTCTCCAATGTCAGCATATATTAACATTTGTGAGATATATTGAAAAGAAATGCTAATCAATTTGAGCTAAAAAGCAACATGCGTCAATTGCATTTACTAAGCTAGAGATAGAATTTCAACTCTATACTGGTAACAAAAGCAACAAATATATTTTTGTCCGGCAATAATTTTACATTAGGAATGATGGGATGACCAAAAGGTACACTAGCACTTAGAACAATCAGCAATTCAATCTCCACAATAATCTACTACAGATGCATTTGGTATAGCCGTGCAGTGACAATAAGATGTGGTTTCTAAACAACGCTGTCAATTTTTAATTGTTCGCTAAACCTGAAAGTAATAGTTGTGGATCAATGCTGAAACTTCAACCAATAAAATATTAAATCAAGAAAATGTGATCAAGCTCAGATGAAGGCCTCGTTTGGGATGACTTTCTTACTGCTTCTCAAAATGACATTTTAGTATAAGAAATAAAATTTTTGTACTAAAAAGCTGTTTTAAGAAGCAGCAAGAAAGCCGCCGCAAACGAAGCTGAAGAAACCAAGTTTGGAAGAAGCAAATTTCAATATTTATGGGTAAATGTCCCTAACTGCCTCCTCAAATACTGCTAGGCTTCTTGCCACCACCGGCAGCAGTCACCTGCCTCCACCAGCTCACACATTGACTGTGGTTGCCAGATATCATCACAGCCTACTTCGAAACACACACCAACAACACGCTTCTGGTCATCAATTCCAAAATAACAAAATTTATATGCATTTACGAAACAAAATCCTTTTTTAGGGCATTTTAACAGTTCTCGACAATGCCACATCATTCCTATAAAACAGTTTAAAAATGTCTGAGCACTTGCTAATTGCTATAGTAATCCTAACAGTTTTTATTAAATAATATTCAACTTTACTCGATAATGCTTCCTGCAAAAACTTTTTACCAATACTTTTGAAAGTAGTTTTTCATAGTCAAATATTTTTAACTTCATAACAATTCAAAATATCTAACTTTCTAATGCCAACATAAAAAACATGGATCTATTGATAGCTTTATTCCTTAGTTTTTGACACACTATGTTCTTTGTGCATCTTCACTAGCATAAATTTCCTTTACTATTGCTACAATTGGTTGTTCAGTTGAAGATAAAAAAGACATGCAAAATATTGCAGTCACTAATATTGGCGCATATCCAACAAAGGCACCATTTAGTATAGCTTTCTGGTATCTGTTTCTGCTTCATAAAACAACAGAGTCACCTTTAGGATGCTTGGAAAAAACAATTATGACATTAAATCTTGGTGCATGAAAGCTAAAAAATAAATTAATTAGTAAGGTAGTTTAGTAGCTTCACAAAATATTGCTTTTAAGGGCTCTAAATAAATAAATATTATTATTTTAAATTATTTGTATATTAATTAGAATTAGGATGTTATATCAAAATTAAATAATGCGTAATAATATTTATTTCAACAATCAATCAACTAATGTAATCACTCCATTTGTGATCACATTGCAAATCTTGCTTAATATGGGTTTGCCTAATTTTACATTAAAAAAACATCAATCAACTCATCAGTACCATAATTTTTGCTAAAAAATCCACAACTATTATAATACTTAAGATTGTGATCTTAAAATGATTTTATCAAACAATCATCTGCATCAGATTAGAGCACAAAATAACAAATCACAACATTAGACAGTAATATTAAGTTGAAACTAAGACTTTAGATGGCATGATACAACGCTTACATCTCTTGCTATAATCTGGTGCACTAAGTGGGTTTACTTTTTTGCTTTAATGCACAAAGTACAAAGTGTAAAGCGAAGCGCTTCATAAACAAGAGTATTCATGACTTCTTTATCACATATACATATATTATAAGCAAACAATAGTCATTTAATTAGCCAAACTTAAATCACATTGGATAATATTTTTTAGCAAATATAATGACACATTCAATAATAGTAATATCTAGTTATTCGAATAAAAAAAGAAGAAGATATAAATAATTAAGAGATAAAAAAAACATGAAACTCGAGAATACTTGTGAGATTGAGTGACCAATTCGAGATTGAGAGCCGAAGACAAAGTGAAGCGTGAGAGAATAAAGACGTGACATCGATAAACATTCATAGGAAGAAGCTTGTGAGCAAGATATTGCTAGCACCAACAATAAGAACTAATAAGAAGCTAATGAGGACATCCGGCCGTGAAAAGTTTATAAGAAAAGGGACCGAAGATCTACGGCCATGATTGAACCACTTTATTTTTGAGCTTTTAGTTGTATTTGATTTATTTATGTATCTTTACCATTTTTACCCTCACTTAAGGGAGTAGGCTTATGTGACCCCGGGGGGCACTTTTGTCATTAGATGTATCATTGTATTTTGGCTATTTATAGGCCTCTCATTCTCTTTGGAGGGGATGATGATTATAATGAAAAGAAAAATTCTGCACTTTGTTTTCTTGGAGAGTTGTGAGCTCTTGTGAGAATCGGAAGTCACATGGTGAGGGCAAAGCACTAACCATCAGCCGCAAGAAGCGTACGGGCTCGTGGTTCTTCTCCACCTCAAACTTGCTTTGCTTCTTAATTCCCTAGCCGCCGGCCCCCCTTCTTTCCCCTAACTGCCAACCCTCTCCTAACCCTAACCGCCGGCCCTTTACCTCCCTAAAGCCACCGACCACATCTTCCCCACCTATTTTGCCGATTCCCCCACCCCCCCCACCCTTTCCCCTCATAGCCCCCCCCCCCCCAATCCCCACAAATTTAAAATCAAGAAATTGATCCTTTTCATATTTGACGCATCTTAAATTAGAAAGGTTTTAAAATTCAGATTTTAATTCGAAATTCCTTTCCTAAAATAAGATGAAGCATCTTCGAAAAGTTTCACCCCAATCATGCCAATTTAAATTAAATAGGGATTTGCCATAATCCCTCCATAAATAATATTCTATATTTGGCAAGCCTCTCAATTCCCTAAAGCAACTCCCCCAATCACCCTAGCCGCCGCCCCTCTCTCTCTCCCATCTTTCCCCTTTTTTCTCCTTCCAATTAATTTTCCCCCAATCAATCCCTCCCCAAATTAATTCCAGATTTTGCTAATTGCAGAAGTTAATTCCAGATTTCCAAATTGTTGTCTCCACTACCATATATCCATAAAGTCTGAAATTACATGTCACCATATCCCTACTCCTTCCTCCTAAAATGTTTGCCCCTAACTTTTTCTTTCTCTTGAGAATGAAGATGGGAGCCCTCCTCCCTTGACCAACTAAAATGTTTGCCCTTTTATAGACATTATAGGTGGAATTTGTCCTCGCTATCATGCTAGACCGATGTAGGTGCAGGTTGATTTCCATCAATCTCTTGAGCTCATCTAGTATATGAATATTCATGTCCACTTGTTTTTTTTTCAAATATTTTCTGACTCCGCTGTCAGGTTAGCCACCTGTGAGAAGGGACACGACGATTGCGAAGACAAAGAACACGGAGAGGAAGTGTGACTTCGGATGCGAGAGGAAGAAACATCGTCGAAGGAGATGAAGCCAAGAGAATTTCGTCGAAGGAGCTCGCGGGCACGGTCAAAACAGAACATTGAGTCAATGAAAGAAAAGGCTAATCAGCTGGTTTAGACAGGGCTTTTTGCGTTGGATTTGTGGCGGAATTCTGATGGCTTTGCGGCGGCAAATCAGCGCTAGATTTGCGGCGGATTTTTCCGTCGCAAATATGTTACAAAAAATACAACAGAAAATTCCGTCGCAATTTTAGAGAAAAAAAAATTCCGTCGTAAAGTCCACCACAAATTGATGACTTTCATATAGTCATAGACTAATTGTAATACATCTACTCTCCTAACTGGGTCATCGAAAGGCCAATGTTTTATGTGACCAAACCATCTCAGGTGACTCTCTAATTGTATCTGCCACTGGAGGTACTCCAATCTTTTTGTAACGACCCGGCCCGGTGAGCCGTGCAGACAAGGCGGGAACAGAATCAGACGTTCAGAACATAAATTTTTTTTAAAACATATATTTAATTAATCTAAAATACTTCACAAGAAATTAAAATCACCTCTAAACATTTTTCAAATATATAATAAACATTCCATATCATTTCATATCATTCAAATATACAAAGGTGGCTTTAAATTTTCTCAAACATGCCAAACCACCCAAAAATGAGTAAACTACAACTAAGAAAAACATAAGAGGAACCTGTCAGCTGGTCCTCTACGTCTGTAGGCGAACCAAGGGTGGTTAGCCATTCTTTGCAGCGGCTTCTCCTAAAAATGTTCCAAAAAGAGGGAATGAGCTAAAGCTCAATAGGAAACACTAACTCTAACATCTTCACATGCCTTTTAAAAGAAAATTTATATGTATGCTAGAAGTAAAATGTCTTGATTGTTTTGCTATCCATGTTGATTCTTATGTATATGCCACATAAAATATGCTAGTTCATATGTCTTATGTATGTCATATGCCTTATGAATGTCATATGTCTTATGTATGTTGTATGTCATAAATATGCCATATGCCTTATGTATATCGTATGTCTTAAGTATGTACTTGCTTATGCTTTATCTTATACACCCGTACTTGAGTACCATAAGTATACTGATCAGGTACACAAATATCTTTTTGGCCATTCTTTTTCTTTCCTCTTTTGCCCCAAAGGGTCATATTGCTCATAAGAGCCATATTTATACTTTTGCATCATATTTGATACTCTGCCTTCAATATACACAACCATTCAATAATTCTTTTCCATAGAATCATATG